TTCTTCTTCTTCTTCTTCTTCTTCTTCTTCTTCTTCTTCTTCTTCTTCTGCATTCGCTTGTCAAACGAGCGGATGACAGGTTGTATTGTTGTTGAGAGCCAGGCTGCGAGCATTGCGATATATGAGCATTTCTGCTCAGCAAATCGGATCCCAGCTAACTCCATAGCTTTACAAAAGTGAAATGTGTGTGACACACTTTTGATGAAACTTTATTTCACTGCACTGTTGTTTAGTCTACCAGCGAACCAGGTGTCAAACTGACCAGTTATGAGATTATTATACGACACTTGTATAAACAGTTTTACGTCGATGCTGCTTACACACAACAGGTGTATCGCGACACACAAATGTGGATAGCTCTGTTCTAATTAGTCGCCATATGCGACACGCTTTTTAAGGCTGCAATAGGTCTTCCCCCCCCCCCCCACCCACACCCATTTTTTTAAAATTCAAACCGCAACACGGGGATCCAGAATCCATACGGGAATATATGTGACTAACTGTTTAGGCTAGGCATCAACATTACCATAAGCTAACTGTAGATAATTATATTAATTCGCAGACTTGTCACACGCAGTTGAGCCTAACTAATGCGGGTTGATCAAAAACTCAGAACAGGGAAAGGCAACGGTAAGTTATAGCCGGTTGCTCTAACTGGACATATTTATTTAGCTTGTTTGTGATCAGTTTTGAATTTGTTCAGGAACTTATGCAGTGTGTTGGTAATTCAAGCCTTTGTTATAACCCTGAATTCACTATTTATATATATATGAATATATAGGTATATATATATATAATATATATATATATATATATATATATATATATATATATATATACATAGGGTGTGTGTGGTTTGTGTGTGTGAACACACACGAGGTTTCCTTGTAAAATTCCCAGAATGCCTGTTTTGTGCAGAAATAAGTGTCAATCCATTATTCACACTAAATTTCCTTTAAAATCTTACCCGTCAGCAACTGCATACTTTTGCTTACATATCTAGCATTTTTTTTTTTTACCACGGAAAGGTATAATATTAACCAATTGTACCTCAACTTCTAGTCCAACTGCGTCTGTTTTATCCGTATTCTTCAGACATAAATATTTATTTAATTCGACTTTATACTCATTTAGCACACAGTGGGTTTAGGTAGCAAGTGCTTTGGAGTGCAAGAATTTAGAACTGTTTGACATTGAGCTGTGTATGTTTGTGTGTGTGTGTGTTTGTGTGTGTGTGTGTGTGTGTGTGTGTGTGTGTGTGTGCGTCTGCGTGAAAAGACGGAGACTTGTGTAGAAGTCACGGTACCTGAGGCCTCAGGTTTCGGCGCCTATTTTAATGTTAATATATGTTAGAGGTCGGCTCTGTGGCTGAGTCGATGCGAACGCTTCGTAATGCCGGGGTGCTAGGTTCGATCCCAGCTGAATGTCATGCGCCTTGCGGAGGTTTCGACAGTGGTATCAAGAAGCCGACCATCCAGAAAGCAATGACAAACTACTGGACGTTAATTAGCCTAGAGAAACCACACAACAGCCAGGGGCTCTTGTGGTTGGTTCTGCAACGTCCTGTAAAGGATACGCAACTAACCTTGAAAAAAAAAAAAAAACATGCGGTAACAGTAGAAGAATTATACAAGCATAGAAGGAAACTTATATGCGCTCGCATACAATTTCTGAGAAAACCGTGAACATTAAATTGTCAGTATGACGGTCATTGTAGCGAATAGGGAGTTTAATGGTTTGATTGTAGCAAGATTAAGCTTCTGACAACAGTTGGCTGTTTTACCTTCTATATATACAGACTGAAAGGATATAGTTTCGGCGCGCAGTTACTGATGAGAGTGTATGTCGTGACACTGTGAGTTGCGGATTTCTCTTGCAATGCATTTCCCTGTCTCAAACGTGCCTTGTGAACTGTAGATTCAGAAAATATCAAACAGCCTGTTATCAAAGAATGTATACTGCTTTATTTGACTGTTTGTGCAACTGCTTTATTTGACTGTTTGTGCAACTGCTTTATTTGACTGTTTGTGCAACTGCTTTATTTGACTGTTTGTGCAACTGCTTTATTTGACTATTTGTGCAACTGCTTTATTTGACTGTTTGTGCAACTGCTTTATTTGACTGTTTGTGAAACTGCTTTATTTGACTGTTTGTGCAACTGCTTTATTTGACTGTTTGTGCAACTGCTTTATTTGACTGCTTGTGCAACTGCTTTATTTGACTGTTTGTGCAACTGCTTTATTTGACTGTTTGTGCAACTGCTTTATTTGACTGACTGTTTGTGCAACTGCTTTATTTGACAGACTGACTGTGCAACTGTTTTATTTGACTAACTGTGTGTGTAACTACTTTATTTGACTGACTGTTTGTGTAACTACTTTATTTGACTGACTGTTTGTGTAACTACTTTATTTGACTGACTGTTTGTGTAACTACTTTATTTGACTAACTGTTTGTGTAACTACTTTATTTGACTCACTGTTTTCGCAACTGCTTTATTTGACTGACTGTTTGTGTAACTACTTTATTTGACTAAATTGCTTTATTTGACTGTTTGTGCAACTGCTTTATTTGACTAACTGTTTGTGCAACTGCTTTTTTTACTAACTGTTTGTGTAACTGCTTTATTTCACTGTTTGTGTAACTGCTTTATTTGACTAACTGTTTAAGTGCTTTTTTGACTAACTGTTTGTGTAGCTGCTTTTTTGACTAACTGTTTGTGTAACTATTTGACTAACTGTTTAACTGCTTTATTTGACTAACTGTTTGTGTAACTATTTGACTAACTGTTTAAGTGCTTCATTTGACTAACTGTTTGTGTAACTGCTTTATTTGACAAACTGTTTGTGTAACTGCTTTATTTGACTAACTGTTTAACTGCTTTTTTTTTACTAATAGTTTGTGTAACTGCTTTATTTGACTAACTGTTCAACTGCTTTATTTGACTAACTGTTTAACTGCTTTATTTGACTAACTGTTTGTGCAACTGCTTTATTCGACTAACTGTTTATGTAACTGCTTTATTTGACTAACTGTTTGTGTAACTGCTTTATTTGATTAACTGTTTATGTAACTGCTTTATTTGACTAACTGTTTTTGTAACTGCTTTATTTGACTAACTGTTTGTGTAACTGCTTTATTTGACTAACTGTTTATGCAACTGCTTTATTTGACTGACTGTTTGCGTAACTGCTTTATTTGACTAACTGTTTGTGCAACTGCTTTTTTTTTACTGACTGTTTGTGCAACTACATATTTTTGTAACTGCTGCTTTCGTCGACGATAAACTCTAATTGTAATACGTTGCTTTCTGTTGAGTCTGCTGATGGGGTTTTGTGGATGTTTCACTGTTAGTTTGTTCTCACCACAAATGCTTGTATTTTCCCTTGGTGAGTGTTTTGATTTCTGGTAATGATAGTGAATGGGTAAAAAAAAAAAAAGTAAAGTAAAGGACCCTTTTCCACGCCTTTAGGCGTATATGGCAAATAGGGCTAGACATATATTTTTATAGACCATCGGCACAAGATGGGTGATGTGGTCAGCATTACGACGGCTGTCTTTACTTTCCTGGGACTGCACCCGGTACCCACTTGAGGCTGGGTCGACCTGGGAGCCAAGGTAATTTTTAAATAAGTCCGGCTCCGCCAGGGAGCGAACCCACGATCTTCCCACAATAAATGGGTGCATCCAGGATAATAATCTTAGACTCGCAGGAGTCGGGGTCACATTGCTTGTAGTTAGCCGCCGGGTTTGGGAGTGAGGGGTTTGGGGGGGGGGGGGTTGAGGGCCAAAAAAGCCATTTATAATTGTCCAGTAAAAAAACAATGATCCTCATACTTCCATAAAACAAAGTGTCGTTAGATCACCATTAGCTGTTGACTGCCAGACCCACTCACTCCACCTCTGTCATTAAGATGCGATGGACTTAATGTTTGCTTGTTTAAGGCCTGTCGACGCCCGGCTCTCTAGCGTAGTTGGTTAAACCTGACATCGCGGTGACCGGGTGACGAACTCCTTGTGGTCTAGGTTCACTCCCAGGGGTAGGCACTAAAGCCACATTTTCTCCCAGATTTACGGTACTTATCATGGAATCAAGGCCGAAGGGTTGCGATATCCATAGCACCGAGCCAAAGGGTTAAGGACTCATGGTTTCTGGATATTTAAAAAAAAAAAAAAAGGCCTGTCGATTCAGCCAAATTCTGTATCCCCAAATCTTTCTTGGACTGCATTACCTCTGCCCCTCTCTACGGGACCGTCCAGTATCGTTTTGGAAAGGCTTGGTAGGTATCGTTACATGTTCATACATGCCGATTTTCCGGTTTTTCTCTACTGTCAAATCGATCAATAAATCTTCTTCAACCTCGCGTTCACATACTGTAAACTCGGGCGTACAGTTCTGGTTGTTCGTCCACTTCTAAACTCTCTAGTCCGGTTTCAAAACCTGAACATTGTGTGCAAATACATTTCACAGATGTGACTGATTTGTATGCAGACTGCTGGTTCCCTGCCCCTCAGGCAAATGCACACCGACAGCGAAGAAAGCTCTCAATTATTATCTCTTACCACATGCTTGTTGATAGGCAGTGGGTCTGTTCCGGTTTCGCCTACAATGGGCCCGGAACACACACCGGGTAATAAATCATTGATGTACCGTCTCCACGATGAAAAGTGACTGGTTCTCCAACATACTGTCTCTTGACTTGGCGTCACACTCTCACAGACTGCTGTTCGTCCATCTTTTGATGTTATCCTCACACTTGTATCGTAGTCTACCTTTTGCTGTCTCGTCCTCGGTGTTTTCCTCTAGTATGGTTTTTAAAAGAGTAGTATGTCTTTTAATGTGGCCAAATTAGTTCAGTTGCCTTTGTTGTGTTTTATGTTAAAACACGTTCGTAGCTGCAGATGTCCTCTCACATCGTTCTTTTAATCCTTTCTTTTTCATTCACAGATTTATATATCTTACGAAGAAAACAAGCATCTACAACTAAAAACAGCATATTATGGGGTCCAGTCGCTGGAGCTGTTCTTACAGTGGCTGTGCTCTCTGGTTCAAACACTGCCTTCTGGTTATCGAAAGTGTCGGGCTAGAAACCAGTGTGACTCTGGAGGTTATCTTCATGATCGCGAACATTCAGACATTAGGTGTCCCAATCCGTTACTCCTCACTTCCTGGAACAATTTCAGCTGCTATGGGAATAGTATTGATACCCACGATGGGATTCGTTATGGACAGATGCGCGAAATCAAAATCTGCGAAAGCCCTAATTCTCATTGGAACCAGTTGTTTGGAAATTATGGGTAGCATGTTAATCTTTATAGGAAACGCAATTAAACTGGCATACTACGATGATTCTGGAATTGATATTAGTTCAACCGTGTTTTATACTCCTGGCGTGACTTATCCGTGGAATAATGTGAATACTTCAATAACCCCAACTTTAAACGACTATTTATTAGAACACAATTTTTCTAACTTTCAAACATACTTTACAACTCCCAGTGTGTCACTGTATTCAAACGGTTTGAATTATACGAACACAACTGAATGGGACTTTCCAGGTCTGTGAGTTCTTCAGGGGAGGAAACTATTAGATATTTCGCAGTTTTAGCCATGATCGGTTATTGCCTCTTGGACTGTGGCTATGACTCTTCCAACTGCTTTCTGAAGACCTTCGCACTAGCCTCCACGAAACCACGGTACCATTCTGGTATCATTGTGAAATCTGTGTTCGTCTCTTCATTCGGTAAGTTTATTGTTTCTGTCCATGCTTAGGTATTGTTTCTGTCAATGTTTCGGTGCTTTTCTCTAAAAATATGTGTCTGTGGTTTTGGCGTTGGGAACGCGTTTCGTAATTCGGAAATGCCCAGTCTCATTTCCGCTGTTGGGGATTTGGAAGGAGATCCCCTTGGATTGATTTCGACAGTGGTGTGGAGCGTCGACCGAAGAAATGGCAAAGGCAAACTACTACATGTAAAATTGAATAAAATAACTACGACAGCTAAAAACCATTGTTCCATACCCTAATGGAACTAACGTTTTTGTCTATCCATCCACCCATGCATGTATTCCTCTCCATCTATCTATCTATCTATCTATCTATCTATCTATCTATCTATCTATCTATCTATCTATCTATCTATCTATCTATCTATCTATCTATCTATCTATCTATCTATCTGTCTGTCTGTCTGTCTGTCTGTCTGTCTGTCTGTCTGTCCTGTCTGTCTGTCTGTCTGTCTGTCTGTCTGTCTGTCTGTCTGTCTGTCTATCTGTCTGTCTATCTATGTCTGTCTGTCTGTCTCTCGATCTGTCTGTCTGTCTGCCTGCCTGCCTGCCTGCCTGCCTGCCTGCCTGCCTGCCTGCCTGCCTGCCTGCCTGCCTGCCTGCCTGCCTGCCTGCCTGCCTGCCTGCCTGCCTGTCTGTCTGTCTGTCTGTCTGTCTGTCTAATATCTGTCTGTACTTCTGTCCATCCATCAGTCCGTCTGTCTGTCTGTATGTTTTCTTCTTCTTCCTGATGCTGATGCTTAAAGCTGCACATCCTCATTCTACCTCCTCCTCCTTCCTGCGTTCGCATCTTCCCTGATTGTACTGTCAGGTCAGGTTCTATTGATAAAGTAAAACATTTGCTTTCATCTGTTTGATTCTTTGCAGGAGGTTGTCTAATAGCTATACTGGGATCTATTGGCCTTGGGAGACTGCTAGTAGCGGGGACAGATCATGATGCCAGTGCTGCCCAAAGTGCTTTTGTGGCAGGTCTCTGTTTTGTGATTATGGTGTCAGGTCTGGCCACAACTCTGACCACTGGATTCTGTTGCTCTTTGTCTGGGTCATCAGACCCTGAAGAAACATCTGAGTTAGTAGACTTGCTTAAGGTTGCAGTTTACTTACACTTTTTTCCCTCTTCTTCTTCTTCTTCTTCTTACTATTATTATTATTATTATTATTATTATTATTATTATTATTATTATTATTATTATTATTATTATTATTATTATTATTATTATTATTATTATTATTTTTTATTATTATTATTATCTTCTTCTTCTTCTTCTTCTTCTTCTTCTTCTTCTTCTTCTTCTTCTTCTTCTTCTTCTTCTTTTTTTTCTTCTTCTTCTTCTTCTTCTTCTTCTTCTTCTTCTTCTTCTTCTTCTTCTTCTTCTTCTTCTTCTTCTTCTTCTTCTTCTTCTTCTTCTTCTTCTTCTTCTTCTTCTTCTTCTTCTTCTTCTTTTTCTTCTTCGTCTTTTTCTTCTTCTTCAGCTTCCGCCCTTATAAGGGCTTTAATTATGTTGTTATGTTGTTTAGATATAAGCAGTATCCGCTCCTCTCGTAGCAGCAGATCTAATGTCATCAGATTCTTAATTAGTCATTGCTTTCCAAAATTGCTTTTTACGACATTGTTATCAAGAAGCATTGGATCTGTTCTGCCCTTCCCCAAAAGGCGTCGGAAACCACACGGGGCAATAAGCTAATGGAGGAGTACAATCTAAACACTTTAACATGACAGGTTGTTTTTCCCTACTGGCCTCCCTTCGAGTCACGATGATGCCTCGCCTGCAAAGTCTCCTGATGCTCCTGCCCCTCCAAGGTACCTCTAGGGAGTGCTGCCATGAGAAGCTGGTTATAATATTTCCTATCTCGGCCTCGATGTAGAGGTGCTTCACACAGATTTACTTCATGGTCACGCAATCGCGTTTGTAACAGAGACTCGCTTCTATCCACTAATCCAATCCGTAAACAGTTGATGATATCTGCATTGCCTCTTCCCACATGCTTTGGCGAATTGTTTGTTAGATTGTCCGTTCTTTCATTGCTTTTCACGCTGGCATGTTCAACTGTAATAATCCAGGTGAGAGAGAAGTGCGATTCCCGAATGATGTCTATCCATTCAGTGCATATGCTACCTGTAGAGATTTTCTGAAGCATGTTCTGCTGTCGGTGCTAGTGCTATGGAAGCAGCCGACGTCTCTGTGTCATGCTTGAGGTAGTCGCTCACGGGTCACGAAGTCTCATTCTGGGTGCATACCCAACAGGATATCCTAGACAACCCACTCAGTCTCAACATCATTATTAATAGCCTCGCTGGTTGGCGTGGATGACGATACCTTCTCGTGGACGTGGTTTTACGAGAGAAAAAAATTCCAAGAATTCATTGGAAAGCTAAAAAAAAAAAAGAGCTGCCCATATGATTTGAAAGAGGCGAAGACAGCAAGTGAAATGGTTTGCCCACTTAGAGAGAATGCCTTGTGACACCATACCATACAAAGCATACAAGGAAAGAGAAGAAGGACATAGAACACGAGTTAGACCAAGAACAAGATGGAAGGATAACATCAGAGAAACTCTACAACAGCACGATGTGCCTATGGATGAGGCGGCCAGAAGAGCTAAAAACAGAACCTTATATCTCCCTCGACACCCACAGCGGTAAAAGAGGAAGTGAAGAAGAAGAAGTAGAAGAAGAAGAAGTAGAAAGAAGAAGAAGTAGAAGAAGAAGAAGTAGAAGAAGAAGGCTCGACACCCACATATCACAAACAGAAAGAGGCAGTTATTATTTTTTGTTCATCTTATGTGAAGAGGAAAACTAAGACATGTTGTAACCACTGGAAAGATTTGTGGAAATAAAGGCAGAGAAAGACAATGGGTGAAGATTCATAACAACCATTTGTCATGGCATGGAAGGGTGTCAGCACACGAACTGATACACGCAGTTGCTGATCGCAGATTGTGGAGAGGCATGATCGCCTACGCCAGTTGGCAAGGCATTTGATGATGATGATGATTACCCTAATGTAACATGTTGTTTGGTAGCGAAATATTACAACTAATTCAATGTAGGTAAGACGATCAAACAGTTTATCCATCTTTGTTTTATTCTATGTAGTTCAGAAGTCCACAACTGGAAACCTCACAGCGAGATTTCGCCTTTAGTTCTATCACATGACCTGACTTCGTCAGAGCAACTTCTGAAAATATCACAAGGCAGTTCTTCCAGAAACTTCCAAGAGAAGACATCATCTCTGCGGATCGGTGCCTACGCGGCAACAAATGACCAGCGGTCACCTAACGGTTCTCCTTGGGATGTTATAGACCACGCAGTGTTGACGACAAGGTCTGGGGTCATCGGATTCGCCATTCGGAACAAGAAGCAAATTCTCGTTAACTTGCAGGCCTTCTTTATGCTAGGTGCTTTGTATGCGTTTGAGGTGTATGCTGTTAATTTTGTCGGTAAGTGCGTTTGAAGTTTGCACCCATTCGTCACTTCACCCGCCTACTTATCCTTCCATTCATTCATCAGTCCATCCGGTTAATATATCCATCTTTTTTACTGAATTCTTCTTCTTCTTCTTCTTCTTCTTCTTCTTCTTCTTCTTCTTCTTCTTCTTCTTCTTCTTCTTCTTCTTCTTCTTCTTTCTTCTTCTTCTTCTTCTTCTGATTGTTATTATTATTATTATTAATATTATTATTATTATTATTATTATTATCAATATTATTATACTTCTACGACTATTGCTCCGACTACTACTACTAAAACTACTGCTACTGCTGCTGCTGCTTAACACCTATTTCGTCATCTTTTTCTACCACTTATCCTAACCGCAGAACTTGCCTTCGGTCAACTCTCTCCTACGGTGCATTTATACTTGTACTTGTGATCGTCTTATACTTGTGATGGTTTTATGCTTGTGATCGTCTTATGCTTGTGATCGTCTTATGCTTGTGATCGTTTTATGCTTGTGATTGTTTTATGCTTGTGATCGTCTTATGCTTGTGGTGGTTTTATGCTTGTGATCGTCTTATGCTTGTGATGGTTTTATGCTTTTGATCGTCTTATGCTTGTGATGGTTTTATGCTTGTGGTGGTTTTATGCTTGTGATGGTTTTATGCTTGTGATCGTCTTATGTCTGTGATCGTCCTATACTTGAGATGGTTTTATGCTTGTGATCGTCTTATGCTTGTGATAGTCTTATGTCTGTTATCGTTTCATACTTGTGATGGTTTTATGCTTGTGATCGTCTTATGCTTGTGATTGTCTTGTGTCTGTAATCGTCTTATTCTTGGGATCGTCTGATACTTAGGAAAATACAGCATTCATAAATAGCTGTTTAAAACTTGCTATCACGCCTACATTAACAAAGACGCTGATATTGCTAGTTATACAATCTCTGCAGGGTATGGAATATTCAACGGAGATCCTCTGGCACCTGTGGGAAGTGAGGCATACCAAAACTACCTACAAGGAATAGAAGTCGGTTCCCAAGGCACACTGATCTACTACTTAACATTCACCATCTGCACTTCCTTAAACCAGGTCCTGTTGTCTAAACTGGGTATGTAGGCCAAATTTAGGCGGCACTATACTGTTTGCCTTTCATTTTATTCAGGCAATTATTAAAGCTGGGTATCAGGTACAATGCTGTGAAGTTAAAGCGGCCGGCGTGAGGCTGACCACATCACCTACCAAGTGCCAATTGGTCTATAAAATATATCTCTAGCCCTATATGCCCATTACGCCTGAATGTCTGGAAAAGTGTGCCTTATTTTACGTTTATCTGATTAATGTTGGATTTTCTATGCACAACTTTGGCTCAGTCTACGGGGTTATCAGGAAAGGTGCGATGAAATAAAGGCAGCAGATGTGATGTTGACACATCAGCTAATGTGCCCCGCTCGCTAGCGTAATTGGCTAAACCGGACTGCTCGGTGATCGGGTGACGAACTCCTTTTACGATTTTATCATGGAATCAAGACCGAAAGGTTGTGATATCCATAACACCGAGCCTAATGGTTAACAATTCTTCTGGATACTTAAAAAATAAAAATTAGTTAATTTACTCCGATCCGTCCATTAAAAAATGTTTAACACTAAATGTCTTTTGCCACAATGACATGAAAAGAATTATCTTGTTTTGCTTCATATTTAGCCAACGACATCTATCTGTAAACTTATATATTTCACTGGGTTATTTTCTGTTAAGTCACCACAGCACGCGAGGCTTAGGGAAATCCTTTATCATAGGGGTGTTAGGGTTAGTACTAGTCGCTATTAATTTAACACCAACTCTAGCCTCCCCTCCCCCCTCATAATATGGGAATGTAGTGAATTAACAGAAAAGAAACTTTCACTGATTGTATGTGAATCAGATGACTGACCAACAAAACTGTCTTCCATCTTGCTGTCATTTCTATGTTTAAACAACAAACACTGGCTGTTCCCCCATGATGTGACCCTAATGATGTTAACTACAAAACCTAAACTTTCAACCCTCTGTGATCTAAATAATTTTAACTATAAACAAACTTTTCACTGGATCTCAAATCTAGAGGCTTCAAACTAGAAACACTGTCATCTTCTTCTTCTTCTGCCTTTCTATCCCCCAAGTCGTTCTATTCTTCGCTATTACATGGACTTCCCCCCCCCCCTCCCCCTTTTCACGTCCTCCCCTATCTTTCTAACTTCATTCTCCAGCTCTCTTCTCCATGTTTTTTGTTTTGTTTTTGTGGCCTTCATTTATTCCTATGCCCCTGTGGGTTCCAATGCAAAGACATTCTAGTTATGCTGTTCTCCAGTTTTCTCGATGCGTGTCTTATCCAACGCTTCCTCTCCTTTTGGTCAACCGGAGCTTGTTAAGCTCTCTCCCAAAGCTCTACATTAGTTATTCTATCATACCATTTAATTCCATCTATTGTGCGCATGCACCAGTTAATGAATGTCAGCAATTTGTTAGTAGTTGTCTTACTTGTGCTCCATGTTTCCGCTCCATACAAAAGTACTGATTTAACATTAGAATGCAAATTTTAAAGTAAGTAATTTTTAAAACTTGTTTTGACCTCTACAAATTTCCTAGTGCTATGAAAGCTCATTTTGCCTTTTGTATTTTTATTTTGATGTTTTTATTACTTCAACATTACTGCCCAAATAGGTGTACGACTCCACGTCTTGGAGTGGGGTGCCATTGAGTGAAACCACATTACTATTTGCCTAATTTATTCTCATTATCTTTCGTCTTTCCTTTATGGATTTTCAGACCCAGCTGCTGTGATCTCGCATCAAATATATTTGATTTGTCTTGCATCTGATTACGTGATTGGGACAGAAGAGAAATATCATCAGTAAAATCAAAATCATCAAGCTTATTTGTAGGGGTCCACTGAATTCAATTCTTGGTGTTAGCAGTTACTGTTTTCATAATCCAGTCTTCTCACCCTAGCCGTAATCTAAATCATTTGAACTATAAACTCTGTACTTTCACCCAACCCATAACCTATATGATTTTAACTACAAACCTGTAACCCAGACTGAAAACATCTTGTTTTTAACTACACTTTCTCATCTTGCGTCGGCTCTGTGACTAAGTCGATGCGAACGCTTCGTAATGCCGGGATGCCAGGTTCGATCCCAGCTGCGGGTCATGCGCCTTGCGTTGGTTTCGACACAGGTGTCAAGAAAGCCGATCGTCCAGAAAGCAATGGCAAACTACTGGACGTAAATTTGCCTACAAAAACCACAGAACAGCCAGGGGCTGTTGAGGTTGGTTCTGCAACGTCCTGTAAAGGATACGCAACTAACCTTTCTTATTTTGCGCATAGGTTGGAAACTGGAAATGCTTGTGGCGTCCATCATCTACGTCATTCTTAACTTGGTCTGTGCACTGACGGTCAGTCTGTACGCATATTATGCCGCTGCAGTGTGGACAGGCTTATACAGAACTGTTGTCATGACTGTTCCCTATATTCTTGCAAATAAGTTTGCTTTAGAAGAGGTAAGACTCATAAACCACCTATCTGTTTCTTCTTGTTCTTCTTATTCTTTTCTTCTTCTTCTTTTTCTTTCTCTTATTCTTCTGCTTCTTCTTCTTTTTATTATTATTATTATTATTATTATTATTATTATTATTATTATTATTATTATTATTATTATTAGGGGAGGGGAAGACCAAGACAGGAATGGATAACTAGTGTAGCTAAAACCCGGAAAAAAGATTAATAAATCCATCACCCAAGCCACTGATCTAGAAAATGCCAAGGATAAAAGCCTAAAATCCCAACGTCAGTCAGCGTCTGCCTTACCGTGGAAATGCAACGATAACAGAGACAGGCCTAAACATGCCATCGTGTTATAATTTGGATCCGGTGCAAGTGGCACGTTTTCCACAATTTCACGGCGTTCCAAAGACGGTGTTGTAAGCAGGGCAATTTTTTTCCCTGACGCCAAGCTATGGTACGCAGTACTGACCTCGGTGCTGTTCACGTTTCCAGGCCCTGGATTAGAGCAACTGCTCTTGTCATTTATGCCTCCTTATGTCGCTGGACCACTCCTGTGTTGCGGTGGAGTTATACTTTCCTTACTGTGATTGGTTTAACCGTTGCCTCTTTTCTCGTTTTCTCATCGCTTACTTTTGTGATTGTTTTAAAGTTCTGCTACCTGTACGACGGTTCGGGAGTAGAGAAACAGTGATATTATTATTTTCTTTACGCTCCTTGTAATAGCTTTTTGTCTCTCAGGTGGAGAGGGGAGTGTAATCGCTAACGAACGTAGAAATACAAAAACTGACAGGGATCACAGGACTATTCCCGAGTGTGTGTGCTAAGTGATTCGATGAGCATAATCCGGCGGGTCGAGACAGGCTGGTTACGTAGACAGTGGATTGAGGTTGCAACATTCTCCTGTGTTTGCAGTTACTTTTATATTCGTCCCAGGGTATGCAGGCGCTTTTGGTAACGAGAGAGCTGACAGACTGGCAGGTGCTGCAATAATTGAAGATGGCCGTCCCATGGATAATGCAGACATTGTCATTGCCCTTAGAGATGGGGACTTTCTGAGGATTTTAGAAGCAACGTGTCCACATCACTGCAAAGGTTACGTGAATTGGGAGTAAAGATCGGCACAGCCAAAGCGTCAGAAGCACACTGGCCGCACACGACGTCTTGTTAACCAACATAGGAATGGTACTATTAACCGCATGACGCTGATGAATATGTTGAGAGTGGAATCTGAGTGCCTATGGACGTGTCCGGAGTGCTGTGAAGATAATGTGACTCATAACTCATAACTAGATACACAAACATTCCAGTTTCGATTGCCAAGAATCGTCGCGCCTGCGGCGCTTCCCCTGCAGTACTTCTTACTTGTTCACAGACACCTGCGGTGCCTGAAATAGACTCACAACAATACAATTCCCACCATACGTCGATGGAACGTCACACCAAGCCATATCATAACACCCCCGCAACATAAAAGAGTTCCAGCGACCTAATAAGAATGAATGGCAAGGGAAGTTACTCTAATCCTGGGCCTGGAAACGTGAACAGGACCCTGGCATCATTTTTATGTATAATTTGTTTCATCATAACTGCCAAAGACACTTTGTGGCTGGTACCGGCACATTTTGGCACTGTGTGCTAAGTGCAGGTAAAAGCCCCGATTTTAAGTAACATCATGCATGAAGGTTGTTAATCTCAATCTGTTTAAGAGGTTTCCATTGCAAAGTGCTCAAGCCTTTTGCTTTTAGTGTACTGGCTTCTTGCTCTTCTTCTTCTTCTTCTTCTTCTTCTTTATTTGCTCTTAAACTGGTGGTTGACACAATTTGTTGTGGTTCACAGCTACCTGCGATTTCTGCTCTTAACTGTTTACATTTAATTTTAACAAACCCTTAACTAGTTGTATTTTACATCTTTGGTTTGTTACAGATTCAAACGGGTCTACACCCTCCCCCCCCCCCCCCCCCCCCCCCCCCCCCCCACCCCCCCCCCCCCCCCCCCCCCTTTTTTCCACTTACCACACCATTCCCCCCCACCTCCCACCCCCCCCCCACCCACCCCCCCCCCCCCCCCACCCCCCACCCCCCCCCCCCCCACCCCCCCCCACTTTTTCCCCCTTCTATAGGAACCAGACACAACACTGATTTGTTCCACTTCTCAAAATGTTTTTTTGTTTGTTATTAAACGTTACTGTTTTTGATATTATATTCCAACAGGGAGGAAGAGACACGGGCGTCGCCATAGCAATGGTGGCGGCCATGTTGCCGTGTGGGTTCAGTGTATGTTCCGCTGTGATGGGACCCCTCATTGACGCTACGGGAAACGCCGCGACCCCGCTATACTACACCGCTGCAGTGGGATTTCTGGGCGTTATAGTTACGTTGTTCTTAAAAACTGATGATTAGTGAATGTGATGTCAAGCGTGCACGAAACAAAATTTTTTATTTGAATGCGAGGACTGCGTCACTAGAAGTTGTTAGATATGGACTTCTTCTTTTTCTTCTTGTTGTTGTTCTTCTTCTTCTACAACAACAACAACAACAACAACAACAACAACAACTACTGCTGCTACTACTACTACTGCTACTATTCTATACCAAAAACAAAAAACTACTACTACTACTACTGATACTACTACTACTACTACTACTACTACTACTACTACTACTACTACTACTACTACTACTACTACTACTACTACTACTACTACTACTACAACTACTACTACTAATACTACTACTACTACTACTACTACTACTACTACTACTACTACTACTGCTGCTGCTGCTGCTGCTGCTGCTGCTGATGATGATGATGATGATGATGCGGTCTCTGATGCTACTACTGCTGCTACTGCCGATGCTGCTGCTGCTGTTGCTACTTCTACTACTCCCCGACTTTCCCTCCTTTCACAAATTCTGCTTCTTGTTCCTAGTATTTCTAGCCAAAATGACCGATAATCGCCTCAGCGCTGACGCTCTGAACAGAAATTTATTTCCAGCTAGCTTTCGCTGTTAGAAATTCTACATTTTTGGATCGGTGGTCCAAAGGTTCCGTCGTCTAGTTACTGAGCTGAGGGTGCCATACTGTGGCCTGTGGATTTCAAGTGGAATGTTTATTGTTGATGTTGTTGTGCCTGCGGCGTGTACTGATTGCCCTAAAATATCAAGTGGTCGATTAAATTCGGAATGGCTTGTACTTTTGCTCGTGCAATGTCGGCTTTCGTTATTCATCGTTTGCACAAACAGTGAGCCGCAAATCTGGTATGGAGCTTTCAGTGTTGGCACATCTGACAGCAGGCTTTTGCATTTTACTTTTCATGTGCAAGCTTCAATATTTTGCAGGAGCTGACAAGCTTTTCAGAAATATCAGAGACACAACGGCCCTTTCAAACGATCTCTTCCTCCCCTGACGCCGCGAGTAGAGAAAAAAAAAAAGAAGTAAAAGAAGACAAGTTTTTTCACTAGTTAGTCTCGATGCATGGTGTCCACCTCAAATGCTAGAGGTTCCGGTTTGATTCCCCGGTAAGGGCTGAAATTTTTTTTCATGGACTTGTACTTCTAGTAATTCCCTCTGGTCTCTGGGTAGTGAAATCTGACGCCCGTGTGTATTGGTGCTTACGTAAAAAATCTCTTGGCAGATAGAAATCGAAAAGAGTAGCATATCGGTGCTGCCTGGGCAAAGTTTGGAGTTAAAAATCTACCCAAAGTATTTCAGGATCCTCGCCGGTGCTACAGAGCCTGTGCACTGTGCTGAGCTTCTACTGACTCAGACTTGAGTTTGAAGAAGAACGGAGCACTTCTGGGTTACTACCAGTGTGCCATGATGTTGATCCGTTATTCAAAACTTCAAACTTCACTAGTTTTCAAATAGGACAGAGAAGGACATTTTATTAGTTTTGCTGACACGGAAATGGGGCAGTGATGGATCGACCATCTGCAGTGATGTTGTTACCTCAGCGAAGGACAAACCTCAGCGAAGGACAAACCCCAGCGAAGGGCAAACCTCAGCGATGGACAAACCTCAGCGAAGGACAAACCTTAGCAAAGGACACACTTCAGCGAAAGACAAACCTCCGCGAAGGACAAACCTTAGCGATGGACAAACATCAGCGAAGGACAAACCTCAGCGATGGACAAACATCAGCGAAGGACAAACCTTAGCGAAGGACAAACCTCAGCGAAGGACAAACCTCAGCGAAGCACAAACAACTTATTTTTCTCCACCGCTTTTATCGTCCTCTCTCTTCTCTTCTTCTTGGCATACGTCACGATTGTCCTTGCCTGGGTAGTACTGCTGGTTATAACTAGAGCCTGCCAATGGGATTTTTATGAAATCCTAAGCTAAGCTGCCCCAAAAACCCAGCAATACATTAGCAAAGAAAGAACCCCCCCCCCCCCCCCCCCCCCCCTGGGTCCTCCTTCTTTCCCAAGAGTGATAAAAATTTACAAATGTTATATAGTTTCGAAACGAAATATTTACCCATATATATATATATATATATATATATCTATATTATATAATATATATATATATATATATATATATATATATATATATATATATATATATATATATATGTGTGGTGTGTGTGTGTGTGTGTGTTTTAATTTTACACCCCAGATTTTACAATCTTAACCCAAGGAGTCATAAGAAACCCAGATTTTAAGGGGGGGGGGGGGGGGGGGGGGACAAATTAGTAGCCCTGGTTATACGTGGTAGGTGTAGCCGTTATGGATGCACTAAGTATAACTTCTGTATAGGTTGAATGGGTTATGCGGGATCTGCTGTGCTGGTTGCCATGCTGCTGAAGTCACCAAACCGGGCTAACGATACGTTAACACAGCGATTCTGACTGACTGACTGACTTTCTACCCCACCAGGACATCACACAAGCGATAAACACCCGATGACACAAAGTGCCACCATGTGGATGAGGATCACCGTGGAGAGGTCCCAGAAACCGCGTTCAGACAATTGGCCATATTTATGGCCTGCCTATATTGCGGCCCCCGTCAAAATTCAGGGTGGGGCTTCAAATAACAAAAAGTTACGTCCTAAAAAGGACGTAAGGATATTTATGTTTCCACGAACTTAAGCGATTCTCAAGCTGGGTGCCGCGGCAATAATCAAGAATTTTTCCAGATCTGCTTGACATTACATTTGCACGGTGTTCCCTCCTTTCTTAAGTATTTAAACCTCTTTAAAAGGTTAGGTGTGCCGCGACAAGTTTTTTTGCCCGACGAAAAACAGTTTGAGAAACGCTGCATTAACGTATCTTTAGCCCGGTTTGGTGACTTCTGCAGCAAGGCCCGTCAGCTGGTGCCGGTCTTGAGATTTAGATCATTAATTTCAAGGCGGTAACAGAGCCAGAGATCGACCACGCGTAAGATTAACCTCAGAAATATCTGAGACACTGAAAAGTTCTTTATACGAAGCGAACAGAAGGGTCCGTTTCATAGATCTCTTTCTGCCTTGACCGCCGCTAGGTATTCCGGGAGTAGAAGAAAGAAAATGGTAAACGTTTAGTTAGCAGCCCAAAAGGAACAAACCAATCCATCGAAGCCCAGTGATTTAGACAACTTCTCAATCGCTGGGTCACGAGGTTAATCGCGGTGTCCGCCTTTGCTTCCTTAATATTTTTTCTGGCATTCGTTTAGAGTGAGTTGATAAGAATGTCAGGTTATTAATCCTATGCCTTGAAAGGGATTCGAACATGCTATTGTTCTGGTGAAAGGCCGCGTTAGCACAGTCGATAGAAGACTCGCTTTCAAATCCAGTTGCGACTCGCTGCAGCACATAGCCGGGGTTCGAAACCAGACAGTTCCCGGGGTTCACCCAGCCTCTAGGTAATGGGTAGCAGAGTTAACACTCTTGGGTAAATGGAAGAACGTCGCTGTAGCTACAGAGTTGCGTGCGGACGGCGACACAGACGGACAGTTTCTTATCAGCTGTCCGTACTGATGGCAGAGCACTTATGGTTTATAACCGTGTGCAATGACGCTGGTTCACATCTCCCGACTTTACTTTTATTGTTCTGATGGCCAGTCTTACTGGCGGAGCTTCTTATCTTCTTATCGACACTTTGTGGTGAGCACTGCAACATTTGTAAGACACTTTGAGGTGAGCACCGGCACATTTGTAAGACACGTTAAGGTGAGCACCGCCACATTTGTAAGACACGTTGAGGTGAGTACCGGCACATTCTGTTTAAAAATAAATAGGCCTTGCTTACTAGCCACTGCTCTAATGTGGCTCACTGGTCGGTTGTATGCGATGCCGCCTTTGTTGAATTTGAGGATGTGGAGTGTTTTTGTGTTTCAGTTAGAAGGATTCATTTATTTGCATCATTTTGATCAATTGTTACTTTAGTATGCACCTGGCGAGATATTGTGAAATATGCCAGATAATAAATTGTATAATCTATAGTGTGCGTCTTCTGTTTTCAATTTACACATTGTCAGTTCTAATGGTGTTAACGTGCCAGTGAGTTGAGTTGAGTTGAGTCAAGAATTGACATCACAGCACTCGGGGCAATCCCATGCGTGCTCCGTCCTCATCTTCAGCAGCCAGCGTTCCAATACTAATGGTATCAGTCATAATCTGGTTTTTTGTCTGTCTTGCCTTTCCTCTGAGTGTAGTGAGCCGGCCAGACCCTCTGGTTACACCTAGGTATCTGTTTCTCTCCAGGCCTTAATAATCTTGCTTCGCTTCAAACATATTGGTGCCTCCGCGCTGCTTACTCGCCGTTAAAGGGCCCTTTCAACATTTAGCTTGTTATGCATCAGTCTGCCACTAAGTGGTGCAGAACCAGCCAGTTTATCTGCCTGTTCATTTCCCCAGCACACCTGCATAAATTAGAGAAAATACCTAAAGTACGATGTCTACCCTTGACTTCTGTAGCGATGCTTGCCACTTCACGAAGGATACATGTGTCAAGTTTTCTTTGACATGCTCTGTGAGTCGGTTACAATCCCGACATGTGTGTGCAGCTGCTTGTCAAACAAGCAGAAGACTGCAGTGACCGCTTCCACTTCCATTCTCAAACTGGAGGATGTCGCATCAGATTTAAACCTGTGTTGCACTAAACGAGGCATACTGGAGGGAAAATTGAAGGTATTTAAATAAGTGGATAACAATAAAAATTTTGATTCAAGAACCGACATCACTGCATGCGGGATATTCCCATAAGCTCTCCATCCCCATCTTCAGCAGCCAGCGCAGAGTTCCAATACCAATGGTATATATTCCCTGACAAGTTTGCAAAGAGGCTAAGTGCAACAACCCCCCCCCCCGCCACTGTTTCCCACCACCTTTGCAACAAGCAAAAAAGGCTCTCTCTTGTATATATGTATGTATTTAAACATTTCATATTATTTCAAAATAGTATTTTTGTTCAGCACAC